AGAGCGTGAAATTCCGAAGGCCGAGAATATGCCATTTTTGCAGACTTCGATAGGATTACGCACACTCGCGTGCGAGTCACCGTATGGTCTTACCAAGACTTTCCGGACTTAAACAAGACTCAAAACAAAAGCATGAATGAAAAAAGTTGCTCTTTCCAAATCCATTTCCACAGAAGCCATTCATAGAACGCCAACAAAGTTTTAGTCAAGTTATAGAGAGTTATACAGTTACAGTGAAATTAATAACTGTTGAAACAACGCAAATTGTTACTAAATTATACTTAGCTTTAACATCGTCGACTAGCCTCCGCAGAGAAATAGAACGTTGAAAAAACGTTTTGAATATCGAAAAACATAATTTATCTCATAAAAAAAGATATTTGCACCTTTTAAATATTTATATCATTTCAAATGTTCATAAATATTGAATATGCTATCCTTCTCACACATAACAGAATATATTAAACGATCTTTCTAAATATTTTTAAAAAAATCTTTTACTTGGCATTTAACAATTTAAAGAAAGTTCTTATGATATCTCTCATGTTAATTTAATCTCGCGACAGTCAACACGCTAAAAGCACGACTATGCACGGAGCAAAGTGCCGAGTGACCGCGCCTTCGTCCGAGGACCCGGGCTACCTTCCTCGGGAGAAAGGTGCTCGACCTCCTTTTTAACCTCCGTTTCTGATCCGGCGATATAGCGAACGATTGATAATTGCATATAGTGAACGATTGATAATTTCACACATTACCGATGGAATTGGCATCGACGCAAATGTTAGGAGCGAAGCTCAGCGAGATCGCGGAATATCGCCTCGTGCTTTCCGCGCAACTCCACGCCGAGAGAAAGTCATTTTCTTTTGAACGGCGAACAGATAGCTTTGGTCACACCCGCGACTAGGTGCGCGTGGGAAGCTATCGACTGGAATTGAAAATGGAATTGGCGACGCCATTGTTATCGAATGATTTATTCTGAACTTTATAATTGAAGGAATAAGATAATAACTTTTAAATCAATACTTTTTGATCTCTTTGATCTTTTAACAAGTATTTATTTTATATACATCATATACATGTCTAAAAATAATAATTTTTTTCAAGCAATCAAAATATCAAAATAATTATGCAACACGCTGATGATATTGCAAAAATTTTTATTATTTTATCAACTAATTTGAAAAGTCTACTAATTGTAAGTAATTACTTTTATGGCCGAATAAAATTATTTTTTGTAGATATGTGTTTGACCAAATTTTTTGATAATTCAGTAAAAATTCCATTTTTTCCATGTAATCAAGTTAAATATCAAGTAACTAAAAGTATTACAATTGTTTTCCAATATTCAGAATAAAATATTCTAATGCAACTTAAGTATCACATTTACAAAGTCATGTTTTTAATTTAGCTTAGATATAATTATTCCTAATTTATTATATTTAAATTATTAATAGCACATATTCGTGTAATTAGATGATGTTCGTTTTCCTTGGAAGTGAAGTTTTCATTGTTGGTACTTTCGTCAGACGAGTCGATAATTTTCCGTTAGAACTTCATTGCTACGTACACACACACACATACACACACACACACACACACACACACACACACACACACACACACACACACACACACACACACACACGATACGTACGAGCGACGCTTCATATCATCATCGATTTCTTTTCTTTCCGACAAGAAGCCCTTCCGGCGGATCGCGCCGTTATTTTACACTCGATGGATTCGTTTCTAAAACGACCGGTCGCGGAATGCGCTCGGAAAAAATCGCGAAGAAAGCAGAAAAATCGTGCGGCGTGTCCGACACGCGATCTTCCGTAATGAAAATAGGCGCGTTCACGGCACGTAATAAAAATCATGTCAGTAGCACGCAAGTCTAATCAATTTACTAATTCGAAAACCGCCGTAGTTCAGGAACTGGCGAATTCTCAGCATTCCTCGCGTTCCCCATCGATGAGATAATCATACTGATCATATCATTGTGCAAACGATAATTGCATCGAGATAATATCGAGAGAGCCTTACGATAGTATCTTCAAAACGATAGTACGTTCAAAACATTTTTTCCAGATTGTTGATGCTTGTACATTACGTTAAATAAAAAATTCAAATATGTTAAGACACAATTCACATCGGTACGATGATTTTACTCGTTTCGTCATCGCGTGCGCTTATTTCCCGCGCAGTTACTCGTGCAATCCATCAGCCATCATTCTCGTCAAAATTTCGTCTCGTAACTCGCGATCTCGTAAGATTGGATAGTTCCAACCGAATCGTCGATTAGAAATCGCCGTACGCTGTTTGAAGCGATTCACAGTTCGTTAGCTCGTTGCACTCCAGAAGTTTTCCGATTCGTGGGCGACACGCGATGAGGTTATCAACTTTAAACATTAATAATTGCAATCGTAATAATAGTAACGATTGCGTCATTATAATAATATTAATAGAATAATTTAACAATAGCATGAATTTAATAGCACCGTTATCTAAACAATTATTAATAGCATAATCTAGCATTAGTTAACTACGTTTCGACTCTGTGCGTATATTTAATAGACAAAAGAACATTAGCTTGAAATTTAAATATAATAAATTCAATTTTAAACAAATTTAATAATTTTATTTATTTTAAATCTTTATTGCGTTCATTGTTTGCTAATAATTTATTAAAAAGTAACCGACCTTAGGACTGAATATTACCCATGATAAAAAAATCAAATAACAAAAGAATTACTCTTCTTTTTCATTTTAAGCGAATGGTCACGCTCTCGACGATATGTTCGCGGATGTAAAATAGATTAAAGTATGTTGCATACCTGTATTTTCCGTGTCTGTAACTAGAAGGCCAACTACATTCACTTGGAACACCGACATGTCACCCGACACTTCAATATATGTTTCCTGCGAAATATATATATATATATATAGCGTCGTTACGAACGAATCTAAAAATATATAAACGTATCTCAGATTCTAATCAACGTCACGTACACGATCGAAGCAAAATTAAACGTCGTTGTTCCCTCTCGTTTTAATTACTTCTCTAATTATTAAAAATTGAAATTATTAGCCGAGCAAATTATTTGTGAAATTGGTAGCAACTTTTTCTGAAATATATCGGCATTGCGCGAACGTGTAAATAGACAAAAGCGACAGCTCTAGTGAAAGTTGCCTTTACACGCGCAAATGCATCTAATGATTTATGCTAGCCACACTATTACTCGAGCTGTAATTCAGTTTGATATTATGTATCCGTTAAAAAAATTAAGTAAAAAGGGAATATCGATGATAGAGCTATCGCAGATATTACGTGACACGCGCATCGGCGATTCATTTCTTCGTCGAACCGCCTGATTTGACAGAAAGATCGCAAAAGACAGTATTAATACATCAGCGTGCAATTCCGCGTGCGGTAAACGGAATGGAAGCGAAACGGGAAGGAAATTGTATCGGGAAAGCAGATATCAGAACAACAGCCGTTGTGTTATTTCGAATGCAATAATACGCGTCACTCGCACTTCTGTCCGAGATGAATGATCGATCTATGATATTCGCGATGTGTGCGAAACGAGTCAGTCGCGACTATCAGAAATCGAAGTGTCACGCAATATGAAAACTTTTCTATTCCGGAATAAGAGTTTTATCTAGTTACGTAAAGATAAATATATAAACATGAAATTTAATTTCATATATTCATCCTTCGGAAGGATGTAAAGTTTATCGCATAATTACATCTACGCATCGACGTGCGCCCGTAATGCGGGAAATATTTATATAAAAAATTTTAATTAAATTTATATAATTAATTAAATAAGAAATGCATGCAATTCTGACAATTTATCTTTATCATTAGAATTTATATAACTGTCTAATTAAAGAAAGCGATTCTCTTTACTTAAATTTAAAAAAATTCAAAAATAAAAATTCTGTCTGTATTTATATTATAACAAAAATTACATGATAATGAATAACATGTAATTATTTCATTTATTTTAATGAACGTAACAAAAAAATTTTCACCTTATCTTTACGTCAAATATCTTTCTTCTACTTGTAAAGAAATAACGTAGGAATAATAATTTCTTTTGCAATGAGAAGATAATTTATTCAAAGATTTCAATCGTCATAAAGAGAGATTTATGAAACCTTTGATGAGAAATAATAGAGATCGAGATTAATATCGGAACTAATTAATAGCATTATGTATGTGTGTGCTTGTCCGTCGCAGCTTTGTCGCATCATGAAACCGCAGATTCCATTAATCCTAAAGAGTCGTAGCCGATTCATTGGTCCACGATAAATACCTCGATTATTTATTCGCATTATGATAGATGCGGTGAGATTGCGGTTGGCTTCTTGTTCCGCACGAAGCGTTACCACGTTTTATCTATTGTCTATTAATGCACTTTACATCCTGCTTCCTAATACATAAAATAATACCATTTCCCCTTCTTATAATAAATTATATCTTTTTTAATAAAATATAAATAATATAGACAATATTTGTATTTTATTATTTTATTTTACGCACACACACACACACACACACACACACACACACGACACACGACACACACACACACACACACACACACACACACA